GAAAAGGCTGCAGTCCTCCATTGCACCTGGGGTTCATGCTCTACTAATGTCACTGGCTCTGGATCAAGAGCTGACAGCAAAAAGAGATGAATAATGATTTCTACAAAAGGGTTTTAACAATATCCTATGTAAAAGGCATTATAGTATGCTCATCCTATGTAAATCAAGAGACTATCATAAAGTAACACCATTTAAAAGGTGTGAATATAATAGTAGAAGATGTGTGTGGCTTTCTGACAGCCCACAGAAAGTAAAGGTTTTGCTTCCAGGTCATTTGCAGGTACAGTATTGTTTTGAGGCACCAGTGGTCACTCAAGGCATCTCGGTGTCTTTGGATTCCTGTTGCACCTAGAATGCCACGGATGGTCATATCCATCAGCCCTGGTCTTCTAGTCCCTGAGACATCTGCCTGGGACATGGGGCAGTGACCTCCATTGACAGTGAGGTGCCAAGTAATTTTTTAGACAAACCTTACAGCCGAAGTGTAGGGTACCAAGAACTTGAAATTACCAAATGGTTTGGCATTTTTGTGTTTTTGTTTAAAAATAACATGCTATTTCAAAAGATAATCAGTTGTTGTTAGTGCTTTGTTACAATAATAAAAACGCATCACTGATATTTTGCCTCTGTAGAGTACTTGGTATTATCTTCTCCCACTGAGAATTTCTCTTTGTATGGGTATAAAGCTCCTGTTTTGAGTGGGTTTCGGGCACTGGGCGCAGCCTGTAGAGCTATGTAATATCATTTGTACTGAGCCTGCAGCCAGCGTACGACAGAGGGCCTGGAAGGAAACTCCACATTTTAAGACAAGAAAATATTTTTGCAGCAGGCTGATTTTCATTCTTCTGAATATCTTAGGAAACTTAGTGTCTGGAGCAAGAGGAACCGGCAGGCAACGCAGGTGAGGTGACCGCACGATCAGTGCTTCTGACAAATGCATTTCACCCCAGAGCCCTACGCTTTACCTCATCCCCTTGGAATTCACCACGTGGCTCTCACATGGGGTGTCCAGAGTCTTTGCAAATACTGTATAAAACTGTATACAATGTTTCTGCCAAGTTTCTTTCCCTGGGGTGATTGGGCAGGCTTTTATGCAGCATTTTACTGCCAGTCTCTCTGAGTCTGCAAAGAATCATATTTTTGCTCTGCTTGAATCAGGCTTTTATCAAGAAACCAGGGTACTCTGCCCAGCTGTTCTCATATTCACTGCGGTTCTTCAGCAGAAAAACACATCTATCTGCATTTACAGACCATTACTCTTTTTTAAAATAAAATCCAAGAGCTAATTTCACTGTCTGCTTAGAATTTTCTCTGTGTGTTTTGAAGAACTTGTGGTCTTTGAGCAAATGTTTTGAAGTTTTTTATCCCAGCTGACTTAGAACATGTTACATGCCTAAATGTACCTGCTGCAAGCTGAAAGCACAGAGGCAACACAGCCAAAATGAAAGTCACAACAGCAGGCATGTCTGACACCATGTCTGGCGCATATGCATTTTTCTCCCCAGGTTCCTCTCCTGGTATAGCAGCTATCTAATTCCAGGGTACACGTCCCTTCCCATTTGTCTGCTTTTCTCTTTCTTTATGAGAGATGCCCCAACATCTACTGCCCAGCCCCATCTCACCTAGGAGACACCACCTAACAGGATGTCCCCACTGTCGAGGCCAAACTTCCCTTCCCAAAGCTGTCTTGCCACCTCCTTCCTCACTGGTACCACAGAAAACCAAAGCAAGCAGGGATACAAAGGGGAGGACACTAAGTAGGTTAATGAGCTGATCAAGGAATATGGGAAACAAGTGGGTTGATGTAAGAATGAGGCCTCCACTGTGACATAGGAGCTGGGACACAGAGGCAAAAGCATAGGTGGCAGAGGGAAAGGTGGGAGGACAGAGTGATCCCATTTGGGGCTTTTGGCACCCTCTTTTTCCTCAGGAAAAAGCTCAAAGCTCTGCACCTGAGTAGCCAGGACCATCTGAAACAGGAGTGTTTCCCACCCTGGCTTTCTTCTTCATTGCGGAGGGGCAAAACCAAGGTGCATTCTCCTCTCCTCATCCTTACCCTGCTTCATGTTCACAGGTAACTCATGTTGAGAGTGTCTCCACTTCCAAGAGCAGCTGCTGAACACTTAGTGCTGCAACATGTGCCTGGTAGGAGCCTAAGTCTCTCACCGACCCACGTTCCCAGGGCTGTGTTACTCTAACTGTGTTGTCTTACCAAAATGCCCGTGACTTAATGCAATTGCCATGTGGATGCTGGAATACTTCTATTAAAAACACACAAAAATAAAAGCCAGTTTGACCCTATGTTTTCAACTGGAGTCTGGTTTTGGCAAATTTAACCCTGTCCTTCAAGCAGCTATTGCAAAAGCTGTTTTGTATCAACACTGTCCCTGAATTAAAATTCAGCAGCTACCATGGCAGCTCAGAAAGACTATTGTCAACGCTATCCAAAACAAACTGGAAAAAAAACCCAAACAGCAGAATCAACATTTCGTCTTGGAAAATTTAGATTTTGCATTAACTCTGATGCCCATCAAAATATGAGTGCACAAATAAACAAGAAACTTGTGCTCAGTTCTCTGTGCTTTGTCCCTCAGTTTACTATTTCTTCTCCTCTGTGAGAACCCAATTTTCTCATTTAAATTCTCTTAACTCTTCTTCCGCTACACATCTGCTGCTCTGTCAAACTTCAAGTCTTTGTTACAAGAACAAAAACTAGTTAACCATGCCAGGCCCCCATATGCTTTCAATTTAGTTTCAGCTGCATTACGGTATGATGAATCTGTCCAAATTCTACTGTTAAAATTTCCTGTGTAAAAGAGAACTTGCATGGAAACTATGCAAAACCAGTAGCTGGTTTGCAATGGAGTACCAATTTAAGGCAAAATTGCAAAGCTATAGAGTGAAAATTGTAAAAAAGTCTCAGCAGAAAAAATATTTTAAGTACACAGATAAGTAATTCAATTAATAGATATGAAGTTTTTTTTTTTAAACCAGGCTATGACTGGACAGAAATTCCTTTAAAACTACCATACACGACTTCTCAGAGGGTAAAACAAAGGTCTTTTCAATCTTTCTTTGTGACTCCAAAAGACAGGGAAGTAAAACGAATGAGCAGTTTTGAAAGTTGCATCCATAAATCCGTCTCATTTCTATCTATATGAAATGGAAGAAAAAAGAATATCTATTTAGACATGTACATAGGCTCACCATCAAAATGACACCCCTAAAAAGCAAAATCTCTCTTTTGAAAATGTTACTTGCGACTCTACGGGATTATATATTGCTAAATGTCAAACAAGAAATCTATGCAGTCAGAATTAAAAATGTACCACTGCCCTTTTTCAAAGTCTCAACCAGCATTCCATCTCTCTCAAGCAGCAAGAATAAAATTCATTAACATTTTGATGGTGCTCAAATACAGTCTAGAATTACTGAAATATTTAGGAGGCCACTAACTTATCAGTCCCTTTATATACTACTGGGGACTTTTCACTACAAAACATTGTATGCATAAGTAATGTTGCAAAGTAAGTGATAATACAGATTGTTAAAAAAATTGAAATCATAATTTCAGATGACATAGTAACAAGATCAATGAAGGACCAGAATTAATCTGCTTAGAAGGGGAAAGGCAGCCAAAATAACATTTTTGCTAACGTACTTTTCATTCTTAGTACTTTTCCACAAGAAGAGCAAGATGCTTTAAAGGTCTTGCCATCCGTTGCCAATTCTATGCGCTCACAAACTTTTCTTTACTCTTTACAGTGCAGCACTTCATTTTTCAGTTTACCAATTAGCACAGGAACCTGCTGCATGCATTTCCCTCTCCGTGTTGAGATCTGAAAAGCAACATTTACCACCTTCGTAAATACTGCCAGCTTCTGTCAGACTTTCAAACTGGCCATACGTCAATATATAGGGACCTTGTGTGGCAAGACCTCCCATGGGAAGGGGAATCACATCTCTTGTCCTACAACTCTGGGATTGGGAGTGACATGGTTGGATCACCCCTGCCCTGGTGGTCCCCAAGGGCCTCTCTACAAGCAGCTGCAGAGACGTATGTTTGCTGCATTCATGGGGTACTGAGCTTCTACAATAAAGCCCATCTCTCCAGTCACCGCTTTTCAGCAAAGGATATATCCTTAGGCACAGCACTGTATTAACACAGCTATGGAGCCTGTGAGCCAGCACTAGCTCACAATGGACCAGAGGGTATGGCACGGCTGCTCCCACCTGTAGCACACACAGACACCTCCTGGGGCATGGTGACATTCTGCTATGGAAGGTAACATTGTTCTAGGATTAGATCTAAAACCAGAAGCTGTTTATTTTTTGCATCTCTTTCGATCAGATCAATGATGTCAAGGTTTTGTGAGGAGGAATTGAAGTAAAAATCTTATTTTGTAGGATTATAGAGCAAAACTATCACACTCATTTCAAAAGTAATCCTCGGTTATACTCAGATCCAAATTCTGAATCCAGTCTTGGACATTACTTCTTCAGCTGAGCTTTGTTCTTAATACCATTCCTCAACTGGTTTCCATATTCTTATCCCAATTTGCCTGGGAGCAGAAAGCCTACTTTTACATGGCCTGTTTTATCTCTTTTTACTCAATCCTGACTGTAACCACGCAAAATCACAGCACCAACACGAGAAGTCAGTGAGCACCATGGGAAGTCAGTGTAGAAGGACTCACTTTGGCTCATCATCAAAATTTGTTGGCCCTTCTCCAGTCCAGTATAAGCTAGCAGTAAATCCCAGGCTTTGCAATCTGAACCAGTGGTTGAAGTTTTGAGCCCTCAATCACTGCCTTAGGTGCACCTTTCCTCTGGAATTCATTTCTTAATATGGCAAGCTGGCTTTGTACTCCTCATTTTATGTTTTTTCCTTTGCTTCATCTCTTTCCACTTCCACAGGGAACACCCACAGCATGATCTTACAGACTTTTCCTTTGCTTTCCAAAGGACTGCAGGATAACAGCTATGTTTACAGGATGTTTGGCTCTAACTACTTGAACTGCTTAACTGCCTTAATTACTTTAAATTTTAACTGGTTTTACTCTACACACTCATCCTCAAACAGATTTCTACCTCAGAAGAGTTAGTGCAGTTAAGTATTTAAGCGCTTTCTCCTGGCTGAGAACACTACTGCTGAAGAGTTAAAGAGATCATGTAAACAGCCGTGTAATTCTGAACAGATAACTTTAACAGCATATTTGCAGTTACTTGCTGGGTCATTTTACATTTGTTTTGTTGGTATGTGCCTCAGACAAATGTGCTTGAAGACTATTTAAAAAATATTTTGCCAAAGAAATGTGAAAATGCTTTGCATATCACGTTTTGCCTCAGAAAGGTTATACTCCTACCACAGAACTCCTCTTTTAGTTTGCTAAAAAACCTTTTCACGAGACTTTGTGCTTTAAAGTTTGTTCCAATCTTTCCAAGTAGTTTTATTTCTCTCAGTAAGTCTCTTTTGAAGTACAGCCTGCAGAGAGATAGTGTCTTTTTGCTTACTTTGATGGTTAATTTCTCACTGTATTTTGTTGTTGAATCCCCTGTACTTAAGAATGATGGTTCAACTGTACCAAAGCATTTGTAAATAAGGGAACCATGAGGAATAAGACCCAGAAAACCAGATATCTGGCATATACGTGAAAATCCAGAGAAAATAAAGTACAAATACCACCTGAAGAAGAACATAAAAGTGAACAAAAATGCGATTTTGCAGCCTGGTATCATTCTTTTAATGAGACAGTGTATTTTAATACAGTGATTGAAATGCTGCTTGTCTCATGGTTTTCATTCAGCTGCACTCACTATCTCCAATGGATCCTCTACCCTGGCTCAGCTCCTCCCAAGGAGGAGCTTTGTTATACAACATCCTGATTTGAGACTCCAAAATACCACTTACTTCAGGAAGAAATTTAATGTCCACCCTTTTATGAGCTAATGGGATCTGGCTGGCTTTTAGTAATGTCACCTGCTTCTGCTTTAAACTTTGGCAGATCATGGTGTACGTGTGTGTTGTGCACATGTGCACTTTATAGCCCTACCAGCAACAGCAAATGCAAAGAGGTCCTTTCTCTATTTCTGTGACAGCCATCAGGTCCTCTATGACAAGCATTTTGGAATGATAACATAACTTCTGTCCCCCCATTTCAGTCAGATGTAACGTAGGTATTTCTGACATGGTTAATGTGAGCAAGATCACACCTGATAACATCCACGTACACTTTGAACTAAGATACTCCTGTATAAGCAGCATATACTGGTGCCTTAGTTCACTGTATAGAAAGCCTGCTGTTTGCCAGTTCTGCAGTCAGCGGGTAAACATAATGCTCACATTTAGCTCATGCTGCTGGTAATTCTCAAGCAATCAAAAAGTATGCCAGGCATATTTTTGTCTCCTAAAATGAGCCAATGGAAATGAATCTTAGTTCAATTAACTGATGCCCTGATCTCTCCTCAAAACAAACGACTACCTAGTGTTGGGGGAACCACCGCAAGCCCACCTTCATAAAGCAGTATATGTGTTAAATCATCTTACGGTAAGGGAAGACAGGACAGCTGCTGACAGCCCTAACACGGTAATAATGCGACATTTTGCATCTTAGAACTCGGCTTCCCCAGCAGGGGAAAGGGCTCAGGTGTGGGTCAAGTCACTGGAAAATAGCCAATGGGAAGGTCCTTATGATCTTATAACATGGGGGAGAGGATATGCTTGTGTTTCCACAGATCATGGACCCCAATGGATACCCGCCC